CGTTTGGGAGAGGGGGGGGGGGGGTATCTAGGGACTCTTCAAAAACCACCTCCTAGCCTCCTAGGGGTGTCCACGGTTTGGTTATGTATAAAACAAAATCAAGTAAGTGGATTGGAACTTTAAACCAAACCACTGTATTTTCTCTAAACTGGTTTTATTTTTAACCAAAGCAGTTTCAAACAAGTTTCTAAACTGAATTATGGGCATAAAGGATTTGGTACAAAAACCAGTTTTGAAACTGGTATCTAATTCAAAATCATTTTTTAAAATCAAATCTCATTTGAAAAATGATTCAAACTAGTTTAAAATTGGTTTGTAAAAAGATGCTTTTAAAAGTTAATAACTAGTTTTAAAACTGGTTTTAATGAAAACAAGACCAGCTTTTTATCAAAAGCAGTTTTTTAAACCAGATAACCAAACTATTTGTTGAATTAGAATTAAACCAATGTGGTTTAAAACTAGTTTATATTATTTGGACTTTTAAAGTGTAATCTAGCGTGGATGGGGTTTAGTTCGTTTTTCTTGTACAGCCTACCAACTCCCCTTCACCAGTGCCTCCCACAGCAATGTCTATTTCTATGGATGATTCTTGCTGGGACTGGCAATGGCAATGGGCTGTATGGCTCTTCCTCCATGAAAACAAGCCCTTTCTCTGGCTTCAAGGCTTCCAATGATCCCCCCCCCTCCACCATCTCATGTCACACTCCATTTTATAATTCCATTCCTGGTTCTTGATCTAACATGTAGATGTGGTCTTCGGGTGTGTTTGTTTTTCAGTTACGTTCAACATAACCCAAAAGCAACACACCACTTGCTTTGGCTTTTTTTCAGTGAAAAGTGAAAAAAGTCCGTTCAACTGGTGTTGAATGAATTCCCAAACACACACTTTCCTGTTTGTTTATCCCACTGCATTGCCACCAAAGGAAGGTAACTCCACCTTTTCTGTCCAAGAATGAACAGAATTCTGACCCGCTCTCATCATACTCTTGATGTGCTTGATTGAATGGTGGAACACAAATCAGTGATGATGGTGTTGTGGAAAATGGTGGGAGTGGTAGAGGAGGAGAATCAGAAGCCATTAGGGTTCGTCACAAGCTCTTGCTCTCACAAACTCTTTATGTGCTTCATTTTTTAAAAGCATGCTTCGTTATGATCAATGCTTATTAAACAATCTTTGCAAAATTTCAGCATGCATCTTAGTTAAGGTTTTGCCTACGCTTCAAAATGCTTCTTTGATTTACAAGTGCCATCTGACTTCGTAACTGTATCATTGAAAAGTAGTTTGCAGTATTATTTTGAGTCTTTTTAAAGTTAAGCTTCTCAAATTCAATTTTTAGTTATTGACATATTCTTCAGGTACTTATCATTTCAGGTGAAACAGGTTGTGGTAAGACAACACAACTTCCACAAGTTATCCTAGAATCCGAGATAGAATCAATTCGTGGAGCAGTGTGTAATATTATATGCACACAACCACGACGCATTGCTGCAATTTCTGTTTCTGAGAGAGTTGCCTCTGAAAGAGGAGAGAAATTGGGTGAATCTGTGAGTTTTAGACAGTTACTGTTAATTACTGTTCCAGCACAATAATTTTCTGTTAGTCTGTTGCAATTTAAAGTATGTCTCTCCTATCTTTGACTTCTTTTGTGAAAGGTTGGATATAAAGTTAGACTTGAAGGTATGAGAGGGAGAGATACCCATCTTCTCTTTTGCACCACAGGCATATTATTAAGAAGATTACTAGATGATAGAAACTTAAAAGGTGTAACTCATATTACTGTTGATGAAATTCATGAGCGTGGGATCAATGAAGGTAGCTTTCTGAAATTGATTTTGTCTTGGGTTTTTAAGATAATTTTTATTATAATGCTCATGCAAATTTTTATTTTGGTGATAGATTTTCTGCTTGTTGTCCTTAAAGATCTCCTAGCCTGCCGACCAGAACTGAAATTGATTTTAATGAGTGCTACCCTTGATGCTGAACTCTTCTCTTCATATTTTAATGGTGCTGCAACTATGAAGATTCCGGTATGGTAACTGAATGACATAGCTTATTTTGTTGTCAATGAGACAGTTATATCACTGGGAATTTACTATGATTGATGGATCATGAATCTCAACAAGAAAACACTGGTTTATGTTTATATTGAACCTGAAGGATAAATGTTAGATATTAATCATTCTTAACTCTTTACATGAGAGCCTACACTTTTAAGTCTTATGATGAATGCCTTTGACAAAGTGGTCACAAGTTGAAGTTGAACCCTCGCCGCCTTTGTTCTTCTAATAAAAGTTGAATACACAAGTTAAAATGGATTGGTGCATTGTACGTGCTTCAAAATGGTTTGTGTATGTTGTGCTAGATATAAAAATTAAAATGATTCAGTAGCTTTACTTGATAGCTTAAGCTTTTAGGAGAGTTATCAATTCCTTCCATGAGTTAAAATGTTGCTGGTAGAATTAGTCTACATCTAAGTTTTGTTCAGGGTCCTTAGAAGTGGTTCCTTCTTCTTTAGTTGTAGTTTCAACTTTATTCAGGGTCCTTAGAACTGGTGCATTGTACTTGCTTCAGGTTGGATGAAACTCAAAGAAAGCATAGTTATCTTTGGCAAACTGACTCACACTTATAAGATTTTTGGTTTTTGAAGGGAACAAAAGATTTTTAAGAACAAGAGGAACGTTGGAATGAGAGGAAAAGAATTTGGTAATACCGGAAAATTGGATGGCAAGGCCATGGCCATTTCCTATAAGAATTTGATCCAGTCCTTAAAGAGAAACTTGTTGCTCAATGTTATGAGAAACATTAGTCATGTGGTGTGAGGATCTTAAGTCAGGATACCAATACCAAGTGCTAAAAGGATTAGCTGTAGTAACCATAGCATGAGGTGATTGAAAAGAATTAGCTGTTGAGGGAGGAATAGTAGTATTTGTTGGCCTGGTGTACTGATTATGAGATAAAAGAGGTCCACGTAGTTGATAGTTAAAGGTGTTCTATGGTTGAGAATACCAATTTGGAACCATAGGTTGTTGATAAGAAAACTTCAGAGGTAATTGAGGTTCAATCTCCCTAATGTGGTGTATATGTCTCAACCAGATTCTCTTGACCAAAATTATGTTGAAAAGACGAGATTAGAGGAGATGCTTCAACAATATTTACAAAGCTATAGTCTTCTTAAACTTTTCAATATGAGATTCATGCACGAGGAGAGTTTCAACCTCGTCTATAGAAAGAGGTTCAATCTTGTTGCTGATGAGAGCAACGGAAGATTCATATTCTTCTGGAAGACCTTTGATAATGACGTTGAGCTGTTTGCGCACAGAAACAATATCTCCAATGGGGGTAAGAGCATCAATGAGTGTTTGCATATGAAGGAGATAATACAAGACAATGTGATTTTTGAGCAATGTATTACAAAGTTCCAATACAATTGCCTCACTTTTGCATTAGTGTGCAAATGAAAGAATGCATTAATTTCATCCCAAAGCTGCCACAGGGATTTGCATCCAATTACGTGCATAAGCAATTCGTGCGACATCGATGATTGTAGTCACGACAATAGAAGTTGATCTTGTTGTTCCCAAGCAAGGTACATTTTAGAGATGTGATATTCATCTTGATTTTCAAGAGTAAGATATTTTGGAAGAATTTGAGGATTAACAAGATATTGATGCAAACAATATCCCTTGATTACATGTTCAACTTGCTAGCACCATAGAAGATAATTTTTTCGAATCAAGTTTTTCAGAAACTGAGTGAGAAAAGGTAATTGCATTAATCAAATGCCATCAGCATCATTGCTTTCTTGTAAATCCACAAGTTTCACTGCGATTTATTATCAAAGAAGATCGCAATGCCACAAGTGTTAATCCTCTCTTTCTTCGATGGGAACAGAAAGATTCACTTCTCTTGTCATGGTTGCAATCTTCAATCACAACACCAATCCTTTCTCGCCTCATTTGATGCGTTCATTCTTGGCAGCTCTCGGACAAGCTGCAAAACTATTTGAATACGCATAGACGTGCACGTGTAAGAATGCTTCACACAGAACTACAAAACACAAAGAAAGAGGACAAGTTGATTTATGAATACATTCTTCGTATCAAAGCGATAGTCAATGCGCTTTGCTCTATTGGTGATCTGGTCTCGTCTTAGGAACAATTAGATGTTATTATTGAAGGTCTTCCCAAGGAGTACGATTCTCTTCTTTTAGCTCAAGAAGTTCGTTTGGAGCGATATCGTCAAAACAATGTTACTTTTGCCACTGTTCTTCTTGTGCAGTCTGATTAGAAGAACAGTGATTAAAACCTAACAAATTAACCACAAGCAATTATTGCAAACAATTCGCAGCTGTACTTTGCAAACCCTAACATGCAGTATGGTGTTTGCTATGGTAAAGGCCGAGGTCGTGGCCGTGGTCACAGCCGCAGAGGGCGAGGATCAATAGTGTCAAGTTTGTTATAAGTTTGGACACACCGCATCAATATGCTATCATCGCCTTAACCCCAACTATGCTCCCTCCACCACCAATAACTACAACCAGGGTTTTAGTTCCAATCAGTATCAGAATTTTTCTACTAATAACCAGTATCAGAATGTAATTTTTATGATTGAAATTAATAAAATACTTGGCCCTGTCATGTTTCAACTTGTTCTTGGTCTTTCAATGTTGTATTCAGATAGGTTACCCTATGTTGGCCATTTTCCCCCCTTTTATATTACTTGACTCTTGTTATTAACTTTTGTGTTTGGCTTAAAATTTTGAATTTTAATTATTAATTATGAACGTCTTTAATTATGGTCAATTTTTTTATTTATTTTTGAGAATTTGTATTTATGAAATATAAATTGTTTAATTTATATTTACAAATTTCACAATAGTATCCCACTATAGCTGTTTAGGGGTTAGACGCTCTGTACCATGCCACTATCCAAGATTGATACCTATGTTAAAATGACACTATTTGCAAGTATATAAGTAATTACAGGGTGCAAACTAGATAAAATATCATCTTAAACGGGATTGAAAATGCTCAAGAATTCATTATTAGTATTTCTAGTTGTTTCTGTAGTAATTTTAACAGGTTTTAATTTCCTTTCTATTTTCAAATTTAGGGAGGTAGGGAGGTTGGAAATGGGATGGAGATTCAAATTTATGTTCTACCTTTTTATTTGATAATACTGTTTTTTTTTATTTGACGTAACTGAGCAATACTATTTCTTTATTTGATGTTACTGAGCATTACTATATTGGTGCTAAAAGCTAAAAGTTTTCCATTCTTATTGGTTGGGGTTGTGGTGACTAAAATAGGGTTTCACATACCCTGTTAGAACTCATTTTTTGGAGGATATTTTGGAAATGTCGGGATACAGATTGACTGCTGACAATCAAATTGATGACTATGGTCAAGAAAGGATTTGGAAAATGAACAAACAGGCCCCAAGAAAAAGGAAAAGCCAAATTTCTTCTGCTGTAGAGGTATTTAAATATTCCTGAGCTACAGTTGCTTCAATCCGTGTCATGTATTTATTAAGTTCCTTTTGGAAAAATATGATCAGGATGCATTAAGAGCTGCTGATTTCAATGATTACAGTCTGCAGACAAGGGAGTCTTTGTCTTGTTGGAATCCTGATTGTATTGGTTTTAACCTCATACAATATATCTTGTGCAATATATGTGAGCATGAAAGACCTGGTGCTATTTTGGTTTTTATGATGGGATGGGATGATATAAATGCTCTCAAGGAGAAGCTCCTAACACATCCTGTCTTGAGTGATCCAAGCCGAGTGTTGTTGCGGATGTGTCATGGCTCAATGGACAGTTTGGAGCAGGTAATAAGTTGTCTGTTGATTGTATTCTGCTTGTGTTTACTTATTAATGTGCAAACTTACATTGTTACTTGTTAGCCATTCTTAAGCTGGATTACATATTATAATGTTGTTGCTAAAGAAAATAAGCATAATGTTAGGTCCTCTGGCAACATATTTACTTTAGAACATAAATTATTGTTTGCAGTCTGATAACAAAGCTTGTACTTACTGTTGTAGTGTTGTTGTATTTTACCACCTTGCTTTCAATCAATTTATTGATAAACTCATATTGTATGTAGAGGTTAATATTTGAAGAACCTGAAGACGGAGTACGAAAAATAGTCCTAGCAACAAATATTGCTGAAACTAGTATCACGATAAATGATGTTGTTTTTGTTCTTGACTGTGGGAAGGTGAAAGAATCATCATATGATGCACTGAATAATACACCTTGTTTGCTTCCCACCTGGATCTCTAAGGTTTCAGTTCAACAAGTAAGGTTATGTTGTAACTTTTTTATGTCATGGGAAGTAATGATTATATCTAATGGGTCCATTTGCTTCTGGTGTCTGACATATTATACTGGGTTCATTTTATCCAAAAAAAATTTAGTAGAAATTTTGGCAACAGTATCTGCTTAATTTATTAATTTAGTTGGCTGAGTGCTGTGTTTACAGGAATGCTGGCATTGTACTTAGTTATGTGGGTATAATTCAATTACATAAAAACATGGCTATAGACTAATTGAAGATCCTTTTCTGGAAAAAGGGGGAGGGTGGGTTTGGGGGCCTGATTGGCAAACATGACATTTGTGTTACATGATTATATGGTTTAATGTTTAGCTCTCTGTAAACATCAACTTATTCAGTTAGAATTGAATAACTTGTGATTACAGGAATGCTGGTATTATACTTGGTTAAAGTTATATGGTAAAATTTGATTACATAAAAACAAGGCTAATGGGCTGATTGAATGTCCTTTTTTAAAAAGGGGTGGGGGAGAGGGGATTGGTCAACAAGTTGTATGTGTTAAATGATTACTGTTAATGTTTGGCCCTTTGTTTACATCAAGTTATGCAATTAAAATTGATTTTATATTCTTTTGGAACCAATAATCTAGCTGATAATCTTTAGGTTGAGCTGTATTTTCCTCATGATATTTGGAAAGTGACCGTTACACCCTAATATATAAGCTTTGTTGCCATTTTCAGCCAGTCCATATCAACTGGCTAGCTCTCAAGTTAATGTCAGATTACAATGTGTGATATTTCACACATACTTTGGGATTGAATGCCTTGCCATTCTAATGAACGGTTGTATGTGCATTCCACCATTTTAATGTATCCGTTTGTTTAACTGGCTTTGTACCTTTTCCCAGTGTCATGTGAATATGATCTATAGCTGTTAAATCTAACAGATTAGGAGGAGATTGGCATCATCTTGGGGTGCAATGTGCTGGTTTTTAGATATCCGTAAGGAAACTTTAATCAAACACAATGATCATGGTTCAAAAGTCCAATTACCTATAAACCATGATCCTACATTAACTAAGACCATTTGACCTTTTGACAATTTTTTTTATCCTCCCACTGAATTCGTTTTTTTTTTTTTTTCTAGAGAAGAGGAAGAGCTGGTCGGGTTCAACCAGGAGAATGTTACCATCTTTATCCTAGATGTGTATATGATGCCTTTGCAGAGAGTCAATTACCTGAAATTTTGAGGACGCCCTTGCAGTCTCTCTGCCTGCAAATCAAAAGTTTGAAACTAGGAAGTATATCTGAGTTTTTGTCTAGGGCTTTACAGTCTCCTGAGTTACTTGCGGTAATGATAAATTCAATGCTCTAATTTTGTGTTATCATTTTATCTCCAATTCATGCACATTTTTTTCTTGTTATATTTGAAATACATCCACTTATTCATTTAGTATTTGATTATTTGTATATAGTTTTTCTGTCACCTTAGTTTTTCTTTTTGTTTTTTACGTAGGTGCAAAATGCAATTGAATATTTAAAAATAATTGGTGCTTTGGATGAGGATGAGAATCTGACTATTTTAGGTTTGTTGACCATTATGGCATGAAAATCTGCATACTGATTATTTTCCTTAAAATTATAAAGCCTCATAGCTGGTCTGCCAATTGACAGGGCACAACTTGACAGTGCTTCCCATGGAACCCAAACTTGGCAAGATGCTTATATTTGGTGTTATCTTCAATTGCCTGGATCCCATATTAACTATTGTTGCTGGCCTTAGTGTTAGAGATCCTTTTCTAACACCTTTGGATAAAAAGGATGTAAGTTTTTTATGTTATAAATGACTGCGACATTATTGGAATTGAGAGCAGACTGTACTTAATTGCAAAAGAATAGCTTGAGGGACAAGGATTGCCTAGGCCATGGTTGTCAATCTCTAGTGACAACTCGTAAACTCGTAAACTCTCGTACGAGTTTACGAGTTTACAAGAGCTTACCTGTACAACTCGGAGGTAAACTCGTTTTTTAGTGAACTCGGAGCAATCTCGGTGAACTCGGGTAAACTCGTGTAAACTCGCGAGACTACCTCCGATATTAAGAGATCACCATTTTTTTTTCAATCCTCCGTGCGCCTCACCTCCTCTGCGCGACTCCTCCGCGCGCCTCACCTCCTTCGTACGACACCTCCGCGCATCTTCTCTCCTCTCCGCGAGTCTCCTCTCCCCTCCGCGCGACTCCACCTTGAGCGCAACACCTGGTCCGCGCGACTCCACTGCGAGCGGAACACCTAGTCTGCGCGAGTTGAGCGAAGACAAGAGATCAGACATGTCGATCCTCGATTCTAGAACCTTCTTCAGCTTCCGTGACAGACCCGGTGCTAGACCCGCCACCGTCGTTCCCATTCTCTTCTCTTCTTCTTCTCCGATCTCTATTTAGATGTTTGATCTAACTAGCTTCTAACTTCTTCGATTCTTGCAATTTTGTTCGTTAAACCCGGTTCAGGATGCACACCGGTCGTGTCTCGTTGGATCAGGTTTGATGGGCTAGTTTTGTATATTGGCCCCGAATTTAAGTGGGCTCATCAATGCTGTTTACACGGCCCATAATTTTTGCACTTTCACCCCTATTTTTTTCATACAGAAATATCCTTAATCTAAAAAAGTTTTCAACGTGTATTTATATTTATATTAATTACTAATATATCACATAGACAATTGACATAACATATTAATAATTGATGTAACACATTAATTATTATGTTATTTTTATTTATTTATTTATTTATTTATTATTGAGTAATCTCTTACGAGTTTACGAGACGAGTTTACGATACGAGTTTACGGAGCCTCCACGAGATTACGTAAACTCTCGAGATTGACAACCTTGGCCTAGGCCATTATAAAGGGTATTGTGGTTATATACTGTTAGGCCTCAAAATAGAAAAATAGAACCTGGAAGGTGAATGTTTGTAGAAATAACTGCAACTAGAGGAATTATGATGTTTTGTATTTTAGCCCATTTTCTTTTTCATGGCTTGACAACTTCATTATGATGATTTGTTTAGTAGATTTATCAAATTTATTTGTTGCAGCTTGCAGAGGAAGCAAAGTCTCAATTTTCCAATGATTACAGTGATCATCTTGCCATTTTGAGGGCCTATGAGGGTTGGAAGGATGCTGAAATAGACTTTGCTGGACATGAATATTGCTGGAAAAATTTTCTTTCTGCGCAATCCATGAGAGTTATTGATGCTCTTCGAATGGAATTCTTATCCCTGCTCAAGGATATTGGATTAGTTGATAGCAACAAGACTTGCTGCAATGCTTGGAGCTATGATAAGTATCTCATACGAGCAGCTATTTGCTATGGCCTATATCCTGGAATTTGCTCGGTTGTGGTATGTTTTGCAACACTGGATAAATGTTAAAACATTTATTGTAGATTCCCCTACTGATCATATTGTATACATTAGTCCATACATTTGTCATGGGTAAATAACTGTGATGTAATTTCATTTGCAGCATAAGGATAAGTCATTTTCTCTAAAGACAATGGAGGATGGAAAGGTGTTTCTACATTCGGTTAGTCGATCTAAATCATTATAATTTACTTCCGACATTGAAATTGAATAAATACTCAAGTTTTATGTTCTATCTTTTGATTTTTGTTTGTTCGTTTGTCTTGACCCCAATTCCATGTTTATTTTATTTGACTAGAATTCAGTGAATGCTCGGGATACTAGAATTCTATATCCATGGCTAGTGTTTAATGAGAAGATAAAAGTAAACTCTGTATTTCTCCGTGACTCAACAGCTGTGCCTGATTCAGTGGTGCTTCTTTTTGGTGGAAGCATCTCAAAAGGAGATACTGTAAGTTCCTTCTCATTTTTTTTTAATGTTTAGTCTAAATGTATATAAAATGTCAGTTTCAAATTAGCCTCTACTTTTTAATCCTATGTTGATTTACCAGAATTCTATTCTTTCTGGTAGGATGGTCACTTGAAAATGTCAAGAGGATATTTAGAGTTTTTTATGAAACCTGCTGTTGCTGACATGTACCAGAGTATTAGGAAAGAACTTGAAAACCTCATTCAGAGGAAGGTAGGTGCAAATTAATTTCATGTTTCTACCAACTTTCCCTTGATATTTGTCATTGTTAAAGATGTGATTTTATCTTTATATAAATAGGGTGTCATAAATATCATATATATTTAAGAAGTCAAAAATATCCATAAATATCTTTAGATATTTGTTTCCCTATATCTTTATTATTGTTATTTCCTTTAAACATAGTCATTAACCCTATAAAAAAGGAGATTAGGGAATGTACAAAATACACAATTAATATATAGTTTTTTTTTTCAATTTGGTATTAGAGCTCCTAATCCGGGGACTGTTTTCATTGCTATACCTGTGTTATTGTCTGTCACCATTGTCGACAATAAGACCATGAGGTGCAACTTTCCTTTGCCGGTCAGATATTAAAAACACTGTTCATTCATTGTTAAGACTTTTGGAATGGGGAATGAAAGGGAGAAAATTCATTCGTGTTTGTTCATTTGTAAATTGAGCATTAGCTCTTTATCAAAAGATAAATCCTTTGTGAAGGGGAAACCCTTGTAGGAGAGTTACCTCCCAATTCTTTGTTTTTTGGCAATCAAGATATAAAATCTTTCTTTTCTTTTTCATTTCAATTCTTGGTTCCTAACACAAGCACTATTCATCACGGTACTATTCAAAGTGGTACTGTTAGCAAGCACTGTTTAGTAGGGTATTGTTCATTTGCATTGTTCTCAATATTCTTCTCGCTTACTGTTCACATTTATTGTTCGTTGGGATATTTGAACCTTCGTTAAGGAGGAGGTAAATGGTTTTTGAACCCTTTATTCCATGAGTAAGTACTCTGATTCATGTGTCAAGACCATTCTTAAGAAAATGGGCTTGTAAGATGAGGATTGCTCCTCACTTATATACACTTTTATGGCTACTAGTTAATGTGAGATGTCTAATACTCCCCTCACATTGAGGGCTGGACATCTCAAGCATGAAATTTGCAAGACTGGGCATCTATAGGTGGTTCGAGAGCGGATGTGAGATCTCAAAAATCCATGAAAGGTAAGGGTTTCTTTAATATTTCTAATTTTATTAACCAAAGTATATGGTTTCTTGATTCTTGGGCAATAGATCACATGACCTCGTTCTCTACACACTTTTCAACATATACCAAAGAACCTAGAAAACAACTTATTATAGTTGCTATAGACCGTGTTCCTATTGTTTGATCTAGCAGCATCGAACTTCAATCATCTCTATACCTAGAAAATCTTCATGTCCTAAATTAGCAAATAATCTCATTTCTATACATTGGCTTACTCAAGACTTGAATTGCTCAATAACCTTTTTTCATTCTCATTATGCCTTCAAGACCTTGCCTCAGGTAAGACAATTTTAATTGCTAAAGAGCAAGGTGGGTTGTACTTCTTGCAACATAAGACAAGTGATAATTCAAGGATTTACAGAAGCTTTATGACAATTGATCACACATATTAGCTTTATTTATAATCAATAATGCTAAAATTATGGAAAAGAAATAACTATTGTGATCCCTAATTTATAGCTACACAAGTTTTCATATTTCCCTATTTACATAAGAGCAAATCATAACAGAATCATATATGATTTCTTTAACACTCCCTTTCAAGCTAGAACATATATTTCGTATGAACCAAACTTGTTACATATTGGAGTATATCTTTACTCCTTCGTATTGTATTATTTTTATTCTTGTATTAGTTGGTTATCTGTTAGTTATTTTTCTGTTTTCTGGTTTGGTTATCTGCTCAACAGGTCAATGTATCTATAGCTTCCTTTGAAGCTATAGATACATATAAATAGACAAGTTGTAATGTTAATCAGTCAGTGCTAATATAATTTCTTTCTCTACTGAATTGCTTCTACTCAATCTCTCTTCTTCTTCTCACAACTCTCTCATCACAATTCTTTCTGTTACTCAATATGGTATCATAGAGCTCATCGATCCTCCTCCATCTTATCCTTTTTAATCCCTCCTCCCCTCTTTCTCAGCCCCCTTCTTTCTCGCTGCCGGTCTTTCCTCATGGCCACAAACCACCATCGTCCTCCTCAACTGCACCACCACACTTTCAAGCTACCCCAGTAAAACCCTCTCCGTCTCCCTCCCTCACCTTTGCCTATACTATTTCTGAGAAACTTGACACCAAGAATTATCTTCTTTGGTGCCAACAAGTTGAACCCGTCATCAAAGGCCATCGTCTTCATCATTTTCTGGTCAATCCTCAAATTCCTCCAAAATTTCTCACGGTTTCCGACAGGGATGAAAATCGCGTCTCCGAAGAGTATCTGGCTTGGGAACAGCAAGACCAGTTACTTCTCTCCTGGTTGCAATCCTCCATGTCCAAGGACATGCTCACCCGCGTCATCGGTTGCAAGTCCTCATTCCAGATTTGGGACAAGATCCATGCGTACTTCCATGCCCACACAAACGCTAAAGCCCGCCAACTCTGCAGTGACCTTCGCAGCACCACCCTTGACAACTGCACCATCTCCGATTATCTTCTCCGCATCCAATCCCTAGTTGATTCTCTCACAGCCATTTGTGACTCTGTCTCCTCTAAAGAACATTTGGATATTGTTCTTGAAGGTCTACCAGAAGAATACGAGTCCACGGTCTTCCTAATCAGCAGTCGCTTTGATGTTTTGTCCATCGAAGAGGTTGAAACCCTCCTTCTTGCCCATGAATCCCGCCTTGAGAAATTCAAGAAGAAGAATCTTATCTCCGTCAATCTTCTTGAATCCTCATCGGGCTCTAACACCCCTACCTCGCAACCCCAAGCCAACCTTGCCCATCAAGATTCTCAGTTTCCTTCCTTCCGTGGTGGTCGACCTGGTGCACGCAGTGGGCGCGGTGCCGCCCCGTTGCCATGCCTAGCCGTGACAGGTTTTCTGGTACCCAATGTCAGGTTTGTCATTGCTATGGTCACATTGCTTCCACTTGTTATTATCGATTTGATAGCAACTTCGTTCCCACCCTACCCCTTGATAACACCTTCCCCGCCAACACCTCCATCACCCACCCTGTTTTTGGCTACACTACCTCCCCCTTTCAATCTCAACCTGCACCTCACCCTGCTGGCCTCTCCAATGGCATTTTGGGGCCTCGACCACCCAATCCTAACACATCCCAAGCCTACCTTGTCTCTCCTGGGAACCTTCACGCCCCACCTTCAGCTTTGGCAATGGCTCCTCACCTGGCGCCAATATATGGTATCCTGACTCTGGCACCTCTAATCATGTTACCAACGTATCTCACAATATACAACAATACACCCATTTTGAAGGGTCGGATCTCTAGTTCCTTGGCAGGAGTGTCAGCAGGAGGCAAAAGTTCATTGAAGTCATGTAGGAGGCCATGAACTTTGCCCAAATACTCAGCCATGGAACCATCAAGGCGTCGGGGAGAGATGATATTCTGGAGATGTTGACACACACCATAGAGACGTTGAGTATCATTGGTGTATAACACTCGGGCTTGTTCCCATAAATCAACACATGTCTCATGGGCACGAAAAATTTGCTTTAAGGAGGGATGAATGGTCGACTTAAGGACACTACAAATTTGAGCGTCAATTTTCAACCAACGAGGACGATCCTTCTCATCAATAGAAGCAGCTGTCTGGGTAAGGTGAGCAACATAATCCTGTCCCTTAAGCCAGAGCTTGATATCCGAAGCCCAAGTATCATAATTGGTGCCATCTAACTTGTCAATGGAAAGAGGGACATTGACATAATTAGTGAAAATAGCAGAGTCAGGCCGAGCAGCGGAAGAGGAAGCCATAGATGCTGTAATAGGAGAGAGAAACAGCAACAGGAGAGAGAAACAGGGTGGGTAGCCGGAAAACGGAATGAGACACGTTTTCCGGGCACCGATGAACAGTGGGTCCACCGGGAGGTCAAGGATTAGGCTCTAGATACCATGTTGAGAGTGATGGTGAATGAAGAGAACATATTCCTTGTGTATTGCAAAGCAAAAGATGTGTTTAAATACAAAGTAGTGGGCCTAGGCCCATAAGATAAAATAACCATAAGATAAAATTATATCTAACAAGATTGTAATTGGCAATGGCCAAGGTCTCCCCATAAACTCCTTAGGTGTTACTCATTTCTCTTCTCCTCTCAAACCTCACATTTCTCTTACTCTTCATAATCTCCTTTATGTTCCCACTATCACCAAAAATCTGATTAGTGTGAGTCAATTCTGTAAGGATAACTCTGTCTTCTTTGAATTTCACTCAACCTTTTGTTTGGTTAAATCACAGGCCAATAACGAAACTCTCCTCCTTGGAGTTGTCGGTCCTGATGGCTTATATCAGTTTCCGTCTCTGCTTCTGCCAAGACAACCCTCTGCTCACACTGTCTCTTCTCATTCTGTTTCCTATGCCACTTGGCATTCTAGATTGGGACATCCCCATAATGATGTACTCAAATCTGTATTCAAACTGTGTAACTTTCCCATCATTAATAAAAGTGTTTCTGATTTTTGCACTTCATGTTGTCTTGGCAAATCTCACAAATTACCCTCTCAATTATCTAAAACTGTTTATCATACTCCTTTTGAATTAATCTACAGTGATCTATGGGGCCCTGCACCTGTTTTGTCTGATAATGGTTACCAATATTACGTTACATTTGTTGATGCTCATACTCGATTTACTTGGATCTTTTTGCTCAAAAGTAAAGCTCATACGCTTGATATTTTTAAACAATTTCACGCCATGGTTCAAAATCAATTTCAATTACCTATTAAAGCAATTCAAACTGACTGGGGTGGCGAATTTCGCTCTTTCACCTCTTACCTGGCCCAACATGGTATTCATCATCGCATCATTTGTCCCCACACTCACCATCAAAATGGTGTTGTGGAACGCAAACATCGTCATATTGTTGAGTTAGGCCTTACCTTGCTGGCCCAAGCTCACCTTCCTATGCACTTTTGGGATTATGCCTTCCTAACAAGTGTCTATCTCATCAATAGACTACCCTCTTCTTCAATCCAACAGGATGTT